AAACACGCGTGCGCGCGCGCACACACACACACACACACACACACACACACACACACACACACACACACACACACACACACACACACACACACACACACACACACACACACACACACACACACACACGCACACACACACACACGAGCAAACACGCATGCGCCAAAAAAAGCAAACACGCAACCACACCAAAGCACGCAAAGCATCATGACAAGAGACAGAGCATCCCGGTGGCGACCTCTCTCGCCGCTCTCCCCATCGTCTCCCCATTGTCTCCCCATCTCTCTCTCTCTCTCTCTCCTGCTCGCCTATGACCACTGCATTCATCCGTCATCATCCATCTCCCACCAACGCCGCCTCACACGCTGCTGCCCTCGCTGGGGACGGTAGCGGCGGTGATGACGTGGTACCAGCACAGCATCGCCGACGGCGTGTCTGCGCGCAGGTTGAACGTGCGCTTGCCCGTGACCACCAGGAACGTGTTGGTGCTCTTTGCCTCGAGCGACTGCGGCACGACCACGTTGCAGATGTCAGCGAGCGCCACGCTGCCCAGCTCCGATGCGGAGTTCTCGTCAGAAAAGTAGGCGAGTTTGCCGCGCCGCAGGTCAAGGGAGAACCAGCGCCGGCGCCATGTCTTCATGAACGACCCGAGCTTCGTCAAGTGGCCTTGCACTGAGGGGCAGGGGGGAGCAGGGAGAAGGGGAAGAGGAGGTACAAGTGGGGGGGGGGGACGGAAACGGGAAAGACGAAATGAATAGGGTGGGGTGACGCATGTGTGAGTGGCGACTGGTTGTGACGGTGCATATGTGCGCAAGGAGCAATAACAACGCCGCAGCAGCAAGCAGGAAACAGCGGAGCGAAACGACAAGTGGACTCACGTCCCCACTGGGTGATGACGAGGCGAGTTGGAATGGCGTTGGCGCCAACTTGCGCCTGCAGGAATCCGCGGATGTTCAGCTGGGGAGGGTGGTGATAGTGGTGATGAGAGGTGAGAAAAGGATGATATGTTCAGGAGAGGGGAATGAGAAACAATAACACGCACAAATGATGGTCCAACAAGCACGCACACAACCCAATACACACACAACACACACACGACATGAAGTGTTCCCAACGAGCCACCTGATCAAGTGCCTGCTGGGAGGCACGGCCGTTTGCCTGCGCAACCTCGAAGATCGCCTCCCGCTGTGGATCCTCTGTTTCGCGGAGGACAGGGGGAAGTGGGTTAGGAGGCAATGGTGAGGTACAATGAGGATAAACGCAAGGCAAGGGCGACCCAGAACTGGACACACACACACACACACACACGCACACACACACACACGGACCGATGGTTGGGGTGACGCCGCTCTTGGTGAGGGTTGCGGTCTTGTCTGCCTTTGGCTGCTGCGCCGCGGTGACGAGGCGTTCCATGTACGTCGTCTGCAGCTCCTCCTCCCGCTTCTGCGCTTTCTCCTTCTCAGTCATTGCAGTCTGTAGGAGGGAGATGTTGCGTTGCGTGTGGCGATGGCGTAGGCAGAGCGTGAGAGCGTGTAAGAGAGCAGGAGAAAATGTATGTTTGTATGTCAGAACATGCAAACAAACTTAACACACATCACACATCAACAACCACATTGCACACATCAACAACCACATTGTACACATTGCACACACACACGCATGACATGACATTGTACCTTTGCACGAATGTCTGCGTCGACGCGCTTGATCTTCTCGAGATCGAGTTTGTGCTCGAGTGATCGGACCTGCGAGCGCAGGACGGCGATGCGGTCCTCATACTCCGCACGCACCGCCTCCGCCTGGAGCACGTGCTCTGGTGGTGGTCGTCGTGGATTGCAGTTGAAGGTGATGGGGTTGGTCGTGTGTGAGGGAAGTGAAAGTAGAAAGAAAGAACTGAAACACAACGCACAAATACACACATAGGTAGGCATTTACACACAATCACATGCAAGCAGTTACGCACACTCACACTCACACACGCAATCATACACACACACACAATCAAAGCAAGCACTGCCTGCACCTGAGCTGGTGAGCTTGCGGCCGGCCTCTGGGAGGCAGACGCGGATCATCTCAAGCCAGGCGTCGCGCACGGGCACGGAGGGAGCACGCATCACGTAGTTGCGGCGCTGAGTTGAGGATGGAGACAAGAGGGGCGCATGTGCACGCGTGAGAGACAAGCAGTAATTGAAAGGAGGCATGAGCGCGCAACGCTAATATAAACACACAAACACACACACACACACACACACACACACACCCCCCCACACACACACACACACACACACACACAAACAAACAAACAAACAAACAAACAAAGCAAACAACGCAAACGAAACAAACAAACAAACAAAGCAAACAACGCAAACGAAACAAACAAACAAACAAACAAACAAACAAACAAACAAAGCAAACAAACAAACAGCCCCTCTCCCCACGGCACCGGTGTTCCGATGATAAAGCCCGTTGGCTCGTCGACGGCCGGCGCGACGAAGAGCATCTCGGCGGTCTGAACAGCGCCTTTGACGTTCGAGCACGACTCGTCCGTGCAGTAGAACAGCGAATGCTTCTTCAGGTCTGGTGGAGGCGATGGTGGTGGTGGTGTTGAGAAGGGGATTGCAAGTGATTGGGTGAGCAGGAGGTTGGGGGCAATGCAAGTGCGGGATGTGAGAACCAGCGAGTGAGTGCAAAGGCAGGAAACCTGTTCATACAACCACACAAGACCACCATCACCATCACCACATCAACCACATCATCAGCGATCAGCCGGCAAGTGCAACATGTTGTACCGAGGACAAAGAAACGCTTCTTCCAAGCGGTGCGCACTTCGCCCTGCTTCTCCAGGAATCCCGTCGCCCGCGTCTTGCTCACGGCAACAAGCTGGGGGTCTGCACATCGGCAAAGGGTGTGTGTGTGTGTGTGTGTGTGTGTGTGTGTGTGTGTGTGTGTGTGTGTGGTGAGGTGACAGAAAAGATGATTGTCACAGTGGGCTATTCACACACACTCACATACATAGACAAACACACACACACACACAGCCTCCCATCGCACCATCGCACCTGGCACTTTGCTGAGGGACTCCTTGAGGTGCTCCGCGAGGTGGGCAATACCGAGGTTGACGCCCGGCCGCGTGATGCCGCGGGCCTGGCACCGCAGCGCCTCCATCCGGTCCATGTACCGCTTCAGCTGCGCTTGTTTCTGGTGCGGCATTCGTGGCAGCGTCGCGGTGGGCAAGGAAAGACGGGGGTGGCGATGGTGATGGGCGTGGTATGTGCCGATGATGCAATGTTGGGGCAACAAGGAACGACAAGAAGGCAAAGTGCTCGTGGCCAGCACTTCACAAACGCCCACACAAACGCACGCGAGGGAAGACAAGACTCGTGCGTGCAGCAGCGCAGTGGATGTATGTATGTATGTATGGATGGATGGATGGATGGATGGATGGATGTGGCCTCACCTGCTCGAACATGGTGGGCGGACCGCGGCCGGTCGTCGACTTGAGCCGCTCCCGCTCAAGCTCAAGCGCTTGCACTGACGGACGCGCGGTTGTGTGATTTGGAAATGTGTTGTGTGATGCGTTGCGTTGGGTCGTGTGAACGCACAAGGTTCAAGTTCACACAGCCGTTAGCGTGCACACAAGAAAGTACACACAAAAACACATGCACACACACGCACACACATCGTCCACGATGCGTGCATGCAAGCAAACGAGCGTGTGTGTGTGTGTGTGTGTGTGTGTGTGTGTGTGTGTGTGTGTGTGTGTGTGTGTGTGTGTGTGTGTGTGTGTGTGTGTGTGTGCGTGCGTGTGTGCATGTGTGTGTTGGGAATGAACGAGTGGGCAGCCACTTGTGGACTAACTTCTCCTGTGCTTCGTCACCCTGTCCCCCCCCCCCCTCTTCCATCCTCCTTCTTCACCACCAACCCCTCATTACTTCGTAACACACACCCCTCCCCCTTCTCATCGCCCACTGCCCACCGTACCGGCCATTGCCTTCTCCTGCTCCTGCAGCAGCCGCTCCTCGGCCTCAAGGCGCTCCTGACAGCGACAACAGCAACAGCAATGGTGAGGCATGAATGACGGCGGTGATGAAGAATGACGTGCATTAAACCACTCACGGCCACAACATCAGACGCAATCTCTCATCCCACACACCACCACCACCACCACAACAACATGATCACCATGACACCAGCACCACATGACACCACTCTCTGGGTCCCACCTGCAGCTGCTTCTGCGTCTGCTCGCGGATGCGCTCCTGCTCGGCGTGCAGCAGCTGCTCCAACTCCTCCCGTCGGGTCGCCTCTGTGACGATGATGATGATAATCATCGTCGTGGTGGTGGCGGTTATCGTCGTGGCGACGGTGCGGTACGTGTGAGAATGTGATGTCGACGAAGCGCTCACAACTTGGCAACACAAAGTCACACACAGTCACACATGGAATCAGCAGCAGCAACGCGGGACCACCGCCACCACCATGGCACATGTGCATACCGTCGCGGGCCTGCCGGAGCATCTCCTCTGTCTCCTGCGCTTTGCTCTGACGCTCGGCCTCAAGCTTCCTGTTGAGGCGCACACGCACACGCATAGGTGAGGCTTCACAGTGGTCGCTGTACCAAATAAACACACGCACACACACACGCACGCACACACGCACGCACACACGCACGCACACAAAAAAAACACGAACCAGCAGAGCAAACAACAAACAACAAGACCAACGGGTGCATGCACAACTACGGACGAGATTCGCTCGAGGAGTTGTCGCTCAGCCTCTGCGCGCGCCTTTTCCCGCTGCTTTCTCTCTTCCTCTTCCTGTCGCTGCCGCTCTGTTGTTGTTGTTGTTGTTGTTGTTGTTGTTGTTGTTGTTGTTGTTGTTGTTGTTGTTGTTGTTGTTGTTGTTGTTGTTGTTGTTGTTGTTGTTGTTGTTGTTGTTGTTGTTGTTGTTGTTCATACACACGTACACACGCGAGCGGCGATGGTGGTGGTGGGGTGAAGGATGAGTGATGAGTGATGACGGGTGAGGAGATGAGGTCAAGCAGCGACAGGCGCGGTACAAAACAGAGGATGGAGTCGCACATCGAGTCTCTCCAACCAAAGCACACACACACACACGCGCGCGCGCTAACCCGGACACATGTGAACACACAAACCAATACACACACGCACTTGTCCCCCCCCCACCCCCCAATGTGCCTGCAAGCAACGCACCCTCCTCCTGCTTGATGCGCTGGTGCTTCTTGTGGTCATCGGAGCGGTTCTGTGCGCGCACACCACTGGCAGCGCCCTCGCCCTGCAGCTCAAGCAGTTCAAGGAAGGCCGACACCTGCTGCTGCTGCGTCTCGCGCTCGCTCACAAACTGGCGAAGGCGGCGCCGTGACAGGTGCCCGCTGGCGGTTGGTCCATCGTGGTGGTGGTGGTGGTGGTGGTGGTGGTGGCGGCGAGATTGGGTGTGTGTGAGATGGGGATGACGATGACAACGAGAACAGAGCAAACACTTGCGCACACATTCGCACACATTCGCACACACATTCGCACACATTCGCCCACACATTCGCACACACATGCACACACATGCACACACGCATCAGGTGAACGTACACGATGACTTTCTGGAGGACGCGCGCTGCGTGTTGGAAGTCATCCATGCACGTGACCAGGGTGTCCTTGTGGAAATACTTGAGAAACGCCTTGGTGTGACCCATCTTGAACCCTGATGTGATGCCTGCCTTCTTCAGAATGAGGCGACATGAGTCACGAGTTGGCGGTGGCGTTTCGTTCCACGCAAATGCCAGCGTCTACAGCAAATACATGGAATTGATGGTTCAAGTAAGGTATGCAAGCATGTGTGAGCATGTGTGAGTCGTTGTAAGCTTGCAGGTGAAAACAATCGGAATAGCACGGCGGCGGTGGTTGCTGTCCAACGACAAACCGAAAAACGCGTACAGCGATCACGATGTGCATGTCTCAATCCCCATCCCCATCCCCATCCCCCTTTTCTCTCCACTCAACTCAAACGCAAGACCCAATCCATCTCTCTCCACCGTCTCACCCTGAATCCGTCCACGAATTCCTGGAACTTTGGGCGCCAGGAGTAGCCCTCCTTTCGAATGCGGATTGTGTCCAGCACTCCCGTGTACCGCAGCTGCAGTGTTGGTCGTGGTGGTGGTGGTGGTGGTGGTGATATTGATGGTGGTGTGACTGCGGGTATTCGTGGCAGGTACCCCGAGCACGAGCATACGCGCAGGCACCTCGCATGCACGTGCACCTCACTTGCTCCTGGTACCTCCCCCCCCCCTTGTGCTCATTTGCTTGCTCACCTGCATGGTGATGTACTTGTTCTCGAAGATCCAAGGCGCCTTGTTGGTGTTGGGCTTGATGCAGCGCACAAAGTGCGGGCTGTGAACGACGCACATGTCAATGTACAGGGAGAGGGAGGTCAGGAAAGACGCGAGACAAACGAACAAACAACGCAAAGCACCGCAAAGCACCGCAAAGCACCGCAAAGCACCGCAAAGCAAAGCAAACAGAGCAAACAGAGCAAACAGAGCAAACAGAGCAAACAGAGCAAACAGAGCAAACAGAGCAAACAGAACAAGCTCCTTCTCTGACCTCTGCTTCCTCTCATCACCACCACCACCATCATCACCACCATCATCACCTGCAGAGCTGCATCTTGGCGACGAGTTGGGCGAGCGAGTTGCGGAAGTGCTGGCTCACAGACGGCGGACGCTTCGACACCCCGCTGGCATATTGCTGACCAGCCGGCATGGTCACAATGGTGATGCAACAGGGTGGCAACAGGGGGTAACGTGAGGGGGCGCACAAATGTGATGCGATGTTGAAAAGCACGCGTGCATTCCCGACATGACCATGCAAACAACGCCAGCAACACCACCATCAAGTGTTTGCCTGACTGTTGTGTCTGATGTGTGTCTGTTGTGTCTGGGTGTGCATCTTCTCCCTCCTCCCCCCCCCCCCCACACACACACACACACACACACACACACACTGATATGTCTGTTGTGTCTGGGTGTGCATCTTCTCCCTCCTCACACACACACACACACACACACGCACACGCACGCACGCACGCACGCACGCACGCACACACACAAACACACACACACACACAAACACACAAACACACACACAAACACACACACAAACACACACACACACACAAACAAACACTCACACACACACACACACCTTTGCGGAGTGCATCTTCCTGCTGACTGTGGCGCGACCGTACGAGGGCTTGATCACCATCGGCTCCAGGCGCCCCGTGTCCGTGATCCGCCCGTAAAACATGTCCGTCATGATTGGCAGCTCGCTGCTCTGCAACACAGAGACCACATCCGAGGCAAGCCTGGACGCAAGCAATGGTAAATCAAGGGAAGGAAGCAAACATGCAGTGAGCCACACACTAACAGGTGCACACCAACCCATACATAGACGTACCAGCACACAACACACACAACACACTCACAACACACACACAACACACTCACAACACACACACAACACACTCACAACACACATACACTCACAACACAAACCACCGCGAGCCATACCCAAAGACCTCTCTCTCTCC